CAACTTTTCATACTGCCAACTGTAGGCTAGTTGTTCATACGGCCCACCGTAGGCCAACTTTTCATACTGCCAACTGTAGGCTAATTGTTCATACGGCCCACCGTAGGCCAACTTTTCATACTGCCAACTGTAGGCTAATTGTTCATACGGCCCACCGTAGGCCAACTTTTCATACTGCCAACTGTAGGCTAGTTGTTCATACGGCCCACCGTAGGCCAACTTTTCATACTGCCAACTGTAGGCTAGTTGTTCATACGGCCCACCGTAGGCCAACTTTTCATACTGCCAACTGTAGGCTAATTGTTCATACGGCCCACCGTAGGCCAACTTTTCATACTGCCAACTGTAGGCTAATTGTTCATACGGCCCACCGTAGGCCAACTTTTCATACTGCCAACTGTAGGCTAGTTGTTCATACGGCCCACCGTAGGCCAACTTTTCATACTGCCAACTGTAGGCTAGTTGTTCATACGGCCCACCGNCATACTGCCAATTGTAGGCTAATTGTTCATACGGCCCACGGTAGGCTAGTTGTTCATACTGCCAACGGTAGGCTGAATTGTTCACACGGCCCACGGTAGGCTAGTTGTTCATACTGCCAATTGTAGGCTAATTGTTCATACGGCCCACGGTAGGCTAATTGTTCATACTACCCACGGTAGGCTGAATTGTTCACACGGCCCACGGTAGGCTAATTGTTCATACTACCCACGGTTGGCTAATTGTTCATACTGCCCACGGTAGGCTAATTGTTCATACTACCCACGGTTGGCTAATTGTTCATACTGCCCACGGTAGGCTAATTGTTCATACGGCCCAGGATAGGCTAATTGTTCATACTGCCCACGGTAGGCTAATTGTTCATACTGCCCACGATATGCTAGTTGTTCATACTGCCCACGGTTGGCTAATTGTTCATACTGCCCACGGTTGGCTAATTGTTCATACTTCCCACGGTAGGCTAATTGTTCATACTGCCCACGGGAGGATAATTGTTCATACCGTCCAAATACAAATTAAGAAAAAAAAATAGTATTGTTCTTTTTTTAAAAAAACTATGAAATAGGCTCATTAAATAATTCCCGTTTTTTTTTACCTCGCATAATTATTTATGATTATACTTAAAAGGGGCGAAAAAATTTAAGTTTTAACGGTATATATCTGGAACAGGATCTGAAATTTCTTGGTGCTAAAATTGATAATTGTAATAAAAGCAAAAGAAATACATTTTTAAAAAAAGTAGTTCCTCCCAAAGATACGCAAATGAAAAACTAGTAGGAACACCTCATAAAAATCGGGAGGAACTGAGAGAGAATTTGGAATGGAAATTCGGTAGTTACGTGAATATCTCCCCCAAACCCACCAACCCACCACCTCCAAGTAACCCAACCTGAATCTCCAGTTTTTTTTGTAATGTTTTTTTTTTTTTATTAGTACCCGGTATTTTATTATTAAATACCATTATACAATCAGACCTCGGAGTATAATACCCCCCCCCCCTTTTTTTTATACCACCCCCCCCAAAAAAATAAATAAATAAATAAAATAAATAAATAAATATATATATATTAATATATTTAAATTTTTTAAATGACGTCCTTTGTATTGGCTTTATAAGTAAATTAAATGATGTTTCAAATGGAAGCGAAGCAGTAAATGAGGAATATAATGAAAAACATGGGTTGGTCTTTTTACTTAGCTTTATATATAATGCCGACTTAATTTTTTCCAGCTTATCGGGCCATCGCCTGTTGCCTGGCAACAAAGACCTCCATATGTACAGCGCCACCAAGTTCGCCTTGAGAGCAATTGTAGAAGGACTCAGGCTTGAACTTCGACAACTTGACTCACACATTCGAGTTTCAGTAAGACTTTTCAATAACGTTTGAAGGAAAGGGGAGATGGGGTCGGTCCGGTCCTAGGCGGCACGTTTTCCTATTTTGAGGGGGTGGCATTTTCGGAAAACTCCAGAGTTGTTGTTTTTTCGTAGGGATGGGGAGTTTGGCCCGCCCCGGGCGGCACTAACCCTTGCTACGCCACTGAGACTTTATCACGAGTTTAAGAGTTGATTTGATATGTTGTCCTCCATTTTGAGAGAGGTAAAGTTCTACCACTAAAACACATTTTGTTGGTGTGGGAAGCTTAGGGTGTGAAAGTTTATGTATGACCTCCCCCCCCCCCCCCCCCCCACCATTTCACAAAAAAAAAAA